CAAAAACAGGTCTGTTGGGATAAAAAATAGCGACCGAGTGCAAATAAAGCGCACTCTAATCATATGTACGTAGGCAAATATTTTCTGAATTGTAAAATAAGACAACTTTAAACAAGTGAGTAGATAAGCCGCAGATGCACATATATTGCACTATGTTACGAAAAAATCCTTGTTCGACCCCACAGTTTGCAAACATTTTCCCGATTTTCGCGTCCCCCGATGTCACCTTCGCCGCTTCCTTCTGCCCCCCATTCTTCCATTGTATCGATTGTGTCCGATTTTTTCGACAGCCGAACGTATTTAAAATCCACCTACACATTACGTCTCGCATAATTCCGTCCCACGTCTCTCTCGCCTCTTATTTAACACGCGGAGATAGTGCGACTTTTTCAGTTTCAGATATATTGAGGAGTGACTGGCGAGATGAGGCCCCAGATCGCATTAGCATTGAATGCTGTGACGTCAGGAGGGCGAGCCGGGTCACTATTGTCCAACAACACGACTCTCCTTCTTCTGGAGTCTCGACTCACGATCGCCGTGTCTCTGGATAATGTCAATCCGAGGGTCATCACCGGCAAACACTCCGAGGAAACGAATTCGAACTCGCTTCGAGCTGTAATTAACAGTATTATTCATTACCGTTGATAAACGCACGTACAGGTTGGTTTACACAGCGTTTCGTCACCTTATCTCGCCGGTTGACACAATTTCGACATAATTAAGAGGCTGAGAGCATATTTGCTCCGGGGTGCTGTCACTTTATGGTCAATTCGGAGAAGGACCGTCATCGGAGGACGAAACTCGCCAGTTGACACTGTTCTTGAAGCTTTTTAAGCCTCTGACATGTGGTACAAAGACGAAAAGAGTCGAAACGTAGCGCCTCGAGGTAAACGGGACTGACTCGCAATAGAAATCAGGTCGTAGGTCACATACTGGGGGCATCTCTTCGTTCTTGCTGCATTTTGCAACGGCCTGAGAACTTTGCACCTTCGGTCAAGCAAGCGGCCAAAGCTCGACCAATTTCGACATAAATATATCGTCGTTAACATTTCTTTGCAAGTAATTAAATCGCAATTCATTAGCATTATGACCACGGAGGTCGCGGTGTCAACCGGGGTGCCGCAAGGCAGCGCGCTGGGTCCACGGCTCTTGGAACAATGAGCGTTTGATAAAGCGGTCATGTGTTGGAGATCAAGTGCCATCGTTTGGTGTTCCCAGCAGCAATCGTAATCTCGTCCTTTTATGGCTTTCCCATTCTGGCCGCGGTTCTTAACAGCTTAACGATTTAGTTAAAAATAATGACGTATTGTTGACCAACTTCTCTAGCACACATACCCGATATGGGCTGGGCGTTTGATAGACAGTCGGTGAAGAGGTTCACGATGGCACGTAATAAAAATCCGGTGTGTGATTCTTCGGATGGCTGGCAATTATTCACAGTTAATAATTTATGAACGATTATGGCAGGACGCTTCCTCGTCGCGTTTCATCTTCCACGAACCGTTTTGTCTTTCGAGGAAAAATTAATTGATACAAGAATCAACAATGCGACGAGAGCGCCAACAACTTTCCGCGATTTGTCGTATTTTGCATATTTGAGTAATTGAGTTGTGGCTTGACCTCTGACCCGCTAATTCATAAATGGTAGAAATAATTATTGTAATTACAAGCAAAGCGCGGATCTTAATCGAGCCCCGAACAGCCTTTGTACGAGATAATTGATCGGTTAATCGTTCGGGTGTTTGATGGATTCATTAATTATAGTTTAATCAAACTTAATCGGTTTTTGGCTGCTGCGAACAACAGGTGGCGATTTTTCACCACAAAAAGGCTTTGTTTTTCGCGGTAACTGTTGTTGAATTGGTTACGCCGCACATCACCACAGGATTTTTTAAATTATTATATTCTTAGTATAGAGTTTAAATTGAACTAATATTTCTTTTCCTAGAGTACGGAAAAATAGGTGCCCCGTTTACGTCTGTCTGTTTGTCGATTTTTTGCACAAATAATGGTCGAAATGATGTAGATGGTAAAACACTTACCAAAATTTGTGTTATCATCACTTCTGGCCTCATTTTTTCGATAACTCCAACCAGAATCGCCCATTGATTGATCGTAATCAATCCAATTTTTGAAAATATCAGAAAATTGGAATTTCACTCCGAATATTTCGAAAACATTGCTCTGTGACCTTGAAAACGCAATATTTTTGGAGTCAACACGTCAAGATCTGTAACCCTGAATTTTTTGAGAATATTTAGTCAACTTTTTCAAAAATGAAATTTTCCATTATGCAAATTTCGACCCATTTTCGAGGATATTCGGTATTTAATTAAACAAATTTTTTGTAGATTTCGGGCCACAGAAGTCACTTCTGGCCTCATTTCTTTGTTAAATCCAACCTTTTTTTCAGTATCGCCCATTAAAATATCGCATATTTTAAAAATTTCAAAAAATTCGAATTTCACTCCTAATTTTTCGAAAATATTACTCTGTGACCCTAAACACGCTGTACTTTTGGAATCAGCATATCCAGATGTATAATCCTGAATTTTTTGAGAATTTTTAGTCGATTTTTTCAAAAATGAAATTTTACACTATGTATAACCTCCCTTATGCAAATTTCGATCCATTTTCGACAATTTTCGAAATTTAACTAAATACATTTTCTTGTAGATGTCGAGCCACACAAGTCACTTCCGGCCTATTTCTTTGTTAAATCCAACCGTTTTTCCAGAATCACCCTTTGAAATATTGCAATTTTTAAAAATTTCAGAAAGTTCGCATTTGACTCCGAATATTTCGAAAATATTACTACGTGACTCTAAAGACGCTATATTTGTGGACTCAACACGTCAAGATCTATACACCTGAATTTTTTGGGAATTTTTAGGCCACTTTTTCAAAAATGCAAATTTCGACTCATTTTCGACAATTTTCGGAATTTAACTAAATACATTTTTTTGTAGACTTCGGGCGACACAAGTCAATTCCGGCCTATTTCTTTGTTAAATCCAACCATTTTTCCAGAATCATCCTTTGAAATATTGCAATTTTTAAAAATTTCAGAAAGTTCGCATGTGACGTCAAATATTTCGAAAATATTGCTACGTGACGCTAAAGAAGCTATATTTTTGGGCTCAACACGTCAAGGTCTATACGCCCGAATTTTTTGGGAATTTATTAAGCGACTTTTTCAAAAATGCAAATTTTGACTAATTTTCAACAATTTTCGGAATTTAACTAAATACATTTTCTTGTAGATTTCGGGCCACACAAGTCACTTCCGGCCTATTTCTTTGTTAAATCTAACAGTTTTTCCAGAATCATCCATCGAAATATCGCAATTTTTAAAAATTTCAGAAAGTTCGCATTTGACTCGGAATATTCGGGAATTATTGCTCCATGACCCTAAAGACGCTATATTTTTGGGCTTAACACGTCAAGATCTATACGTCTGAATTTTTTGGGAATTTTTAGGCGACTTTTTCAAAAATGCAAATTTCAACCCATTTTTGACAATTTTTGGAACTTAACTTAATATATTTTCTTGTAGATTTGGAGCCACACAAGTCACTACCGGCCTATTTCTTTGTTAAATCCAACTGTTTTTCCAGAATCACCCATTGAAATATCGCAATTTTTAAAAATTTCAGAAAGTTTGCATTTGACTGGGAATATTTCGGAAATATTGCTCCATGACCCTAAAGACGTTATATTTTTTTGGGCTTAACACGTCAAGATCTATACGCCTGAATTTTTTGAGAATTTTTAGGCGACTTTTTCAAAAATGCAAATTTCGACCCATTTTTGCAAATTTTTGGAATTTAAATAAACACATTTTTTGTAGATTTCGGGCCACAGACGTCACTTCCGGCGTCATTTATTTATTAAATCCAATCCTTTTTTTCAGAATCCCCCATTGAAATATCGCATTTTTTTTTTATTTCAAAAAATTCGAAATTACTCCTAATATTTCGAAAATCCATGACCCTAAACACGCTATATTTTTGGGATCACACGTCAAGATCTACACTTCCGAATTTTTTGGGAATTTTTGGGCGACTTTTTCAAAAATGCAAATTTCGACCCATTTTCGACAATTTTCGGAATTTAACTAAATACATTTTCTTCTAGCCGCAGAAGTCACTTTCGACCTCGTTTTCGTCTTTCGGGTTTTTGACTTTTCGATTTTTCAATTTCTCGATTTTTTAACTTTCAGTATTTCAGTTGCGGAATTTTTCAATTTTTCGATTCTTCATTTGCTCGATTTTTCAAATTTTCAATTTCCCAATTTTTTTATTTTGCGATCTCTGGATTTTCCGATATTTGAGTTTCAATTTTTACTGTAGTAGTATTGTAATCGAGTCTCTCTACTTTTACGTTACGACCTTTCGTGCCTACAGCACGAAGAAATAGATCTCTCGTTTCCGTCTATCTGCCTATCCGTCTGTCTGTCCGTCTGTCCGTCTGTCCGTCTGTCTGCCGTTCTGGATTTTTATTAGACAGATAATTTCCGAGAGTACTGGGCCGATTATTGTCAATTTTTGTATTTATATTAGGAATATCATGTAGCAAAATTTGTCTAATCATCCCCATCATTAATGTGATGACGTCACTTCAAAATTGTACATAATAAATGAGTTTTAAAGCGTATGAAATAACATAGTTCGTCGTCTTCTTTGTTTCCTTCGTTGTTAGCCTCGTTTGCTCTTCGTCTCCTAAGTCCTTCGTCTCTTTCATCCTTCGTCTCTTTCATCCCCTGCGTCCTTCGTTTCTTTTGTCCTTCGTTTTTCGTCTCCGTCCTCCTTTGTTTTTCGTCTCCTTCGTGTCTTTCGTTCTTCATCTCCCTCGTCTCTTTCTTCCTTCATTCTCCTTCGTTTTTCGTCTCCTTCGCCCTTCGTCTCCTTCTTCTCCTTCGCCCTTCATCTTCTTCGTCCCCTTTGTCCCTCGTACGCTTCATCTTTCAAGCTTCGCGTCCTTCGTGTCCTTCATATCCTTCATCCTCTTCGTGTCATTCGTCTCCTTCGCCCCTTTCGTCTTTTTCGTGCTTCATCTCCTTCGTTACCTTCGTTCGTCGTCTTCTTCGTTTCCTTAGTCGTTAGCTTCGTTTGCCCTTCGTCACCTAAATCCTTCCCTTCATCTCTTTCATCCTTCGTCTTTTTCGTCATTTGCGTCCTTCGTTCCTTGTTTCTTTCGTGTCTTTCGTTCTTCATCTCCTTTGTCTCTTTCGTCCTTCGTCTCTTACTTTCTACATCTACTTCATTTCCTACGTCCTACATCTCTTTCATTTTTCGTCTTTTTCACCTTTCGTCCGCTTCATCTTTCGTTCTTCGTGAACTTCGTGTCCTTCGTATCCTTCGTCCTCTTTGTGTCATTCGTTTCCTTGGTCTCTTTCGTCCTTCGTCTCCTACGTCCTACATCTCCTTCGTCCACTACATCCTACGTCTCCTTCGTTTTTCGTCTCCTTCGCCCTTCGTCCCCTCTGTCTCTTTCCTCCTTCGTCTTCTTCGTCCTTTGTTCCATTCATCCCCTTCGTCTCTTTCGTTCCCTCCATCTCCTATCATCCTTCGTTGTTCGTCTCCTTCATCCCATTCATTCCCTTCATCTCCTTGGTTTCTTTCGTCCTTTGTCTCCTTCATCTTCTTAGCCCTTATTCGCCTTCGTTCTTCGTCTCCTTCATCTCCTTTGTTTCTTTTACCCATCATCTCCTTCGTCTCCCACGTCCTATATCTCTCCTTTGTCTCATACCTCCTACGTCTCCTTGGTGTTTTGTCTTGTTAATTCTTCGTCTTCTTTGTCTGTTTCGTCCTTCTTCTCCTACGTTTCCTTCGTCCCTCGTCTGCTTCGTTTTTTCCATCCTTCGTCTCCTTTGTTCTCGTTCTTCGTATTTTTCGTCCTTTGCTCCGTACATCCCCTTCGTCTCCTTCATTTCCTTCGTCCCCAAAAAATTGATTACGTCATCTCAACATTTTGCTGAATAAATCCTTTCAAAATGTGCAAAATATGATCAGACGATACTTGTAATTTATCATTGCATTCGTATTTTTAGATTTGCTTATACAGGGTGACTTAAAAAAATTAATGAATCAGTCAATATGAGAATACGCTCGTCTTTATAACAATAAAATAATGGTAAGATAAGAATTATAATAATAACATTCATTTAAATCAAACAAATGTCTACGTGACATTCTTCCGATGTATAAACGTCAACAATTTAAACACTAAATTATGTACTTCTGTCCATTGGGAATGGAAACTATTTATAGAATCTAGGATCTGAAAAAGAAAATAAAAGCGCTAACCATAACTTTTTTTGTTAAAATCAGTTTTATCTTAGCAAATACTAGCCCCGCCCACCCACCCTCTATTTTCTTAAAGAGTATATCATTTACCAAAATCCGTCTTATCTTAGCAAGGACTAGGCCCACCCACCCACCCTCTATTTTCTTAAAGAGTATATCATCTGCCAAAATCAGTCTTATCTTAGCAATTACTAGCCCCGCCTACCCGCCCTCTATTGTCTTATGGTATGTTATTTTCCACATCGGTCATATCTTAGAAAGTACTACGATTTTTCTCAAAAATGTGAGAATACGCTCGTCTTTATAACAATAAAATAATGATAAGGTAGGAATTCTAATAATAACATTTAGAATATTCTGTTCAATTGAGGCTTATGAATAATTCTAGTCATCTGTTTTGAGGCGATAAACTCATTCAAATCAAACAAATGTCTACGTGACATTCTTCCGATGCATAAACACTACTTATATTTTACATTATAATTTAAACATTACGCATATTGCTCAGATACCACTATTCCCGTTGATAATAATGTGCTGTAAATATATTTTACAATGTCCGTACTTGTGCAGAGACGGTTTATATGGATATGCTTGTGATGCTGGATCATCACAACGGAAAATAAAATTTATTTGTTTTTAATTTGGTTATTACTAAAATACGATTTCGTCTTCGACTAACCATTTGTTGACACAAATGATCTCGAGATTGTGCAAAACGCAAAATTGGCCACTTCCAGGCGTTCCACTAATTTATGACTTGCAGCCAGGCAGTCACCTGCACAAAGAGCTGCCGTCTGAGTTTTGTTTGCTTTTTTTCTGGTTCAATAAAGTATACCCCGCATTTTCGAAATTATTGCATTTGTATTAATATTTTTTCGATTTGCTTATACAGGGTGATGCAAAAAAGAATTAATGACTCAATTTATTTCATTGTTTAAATCAAAAACTCCAAAACCGAATGCCTTGAAGTCTTGCAGACGTTTTGAAGTTATTGCAGGCAGTTATTTATTAAATTAAGAGCGACTTCTTTAATTATATAACGTAAGAATAAATAAAAAAATACTTCGTGATCATTTTTGTCCCTCACCATAACCGGAGGATTTTCGAATCATTGTGCGGTTTCAAATCAAATGTGTTCCAATTTTCGGCATACAACCTCAATACAAATAAAAAGCGCAAAGTCCGCGTCCCATGGCCACATCCTTCCGTGCAGGCCGCCCATTACGTCCGAAAAAACGACCATTTCCAAATTGTTTGTTATACAAAACACCCATTCATTACCGGCCTGATCCATCATTTGCCGCGACATATGTTACCGTTTTAAAAAGTTCTTAAGGTGTTATTACCCCGCGGCCACAGGTAGCAATCTTCCCCAAATAACATCCCTATTAATTGCTTTCACTTAATTTAAATACTTCAAAGTTTTACGACGCCGCTGCCACAAAGAAACCCCCAACAAATTCACACTGTTTCTGGAACCTTATCTGCAACAAAGCCGTTATTATTTGCCGAATTACACCTTACATTTCCGCTCCTTTCTGACCATGTTGTGACAGGTTTGCGGTCAGTGCAAGCCGAAAAGAGCCAAAAGAGGGTTGCCTGAGCGCTTAGGGTGGCGAAACCTTGACCGATGAACCGCCGTCTAGATCGCTTCCTTTCTTGCGGAATTCGGGCTTACACGCAGACAAATGTAAGCTGGTTTCAAGGACTGGATCGGAGGGTGTAGGATTAGGGGTTTGTTTGCTCGCTGTTTTTATTGCTGGCGTGTTTTTGATTTCGGGGAAAATTGTGATCGGGTGGTTGGAATTTGAGACGGCGTGGAGTGTCCGAGCACCCCCGAGTAGGGCGTGATGTACTGACAGATTGAAACCATCAGGCAGACTGTTTTAGCCACAGCCAAACATCCCTCTCGAAATATTAGAGACGTCTGGCCGATGTTTAGTCTACATGTGTGCCCTATATTCGGGCGGAATCGAATTAACCCTAGTGGATGGCTTCTTCAACCACTTATGGTCAAATGCGCACAAAAAATTATCGACGACCACCAAGAGAAAGCTTATCTTTATGGCGAGGGTTTCCGCTTTGAGCTAATTGATATTCTTGAAGTGGAGATAGCTCAGGGTGGGAAGCTGATTTTTTAACATCTGGTTATTTCCAAAACTCGAAGAATTTCTGAAAAATTCGCGGGCGTTTATTCACCTCCAAGGCAGCGAAAACGCCTGTTTTACTTTCTCCATTCCTCCCGTCCGCGTCAAAAAAGGAAGTCGATTTATGATAAACAATCCGCGCTTCTTCGAACCCCCGGTTTCGGCAAATCCGAGACGATTTTATGGTAGTGTAAACCATAATATGAATTGTTTACATGTCGACTTTTTGTAGAACTGTAAAAATGCTCGTCGGTCACATCGTGTAAATATAGCGAGCACATGTTCTCGGCGCGGTCCACGATTATCACCCTTATGGTGGGGTGAATGCGGACGAGGACGGCGGCAGCCGAGGGTCGACACACATGTGGACGCGTGTGAAGAACATCTTCAAGATGCCTCCATGTGTGTGCAGTGGACATCCGTGGTCTAGACTCGAGAGAGGGTTATGGGATATTTTTAACCGCACCAACTGCGAGTGATTTATCGGACTTCTTCGGGAGGATGATCTCCAGACGCGGATAGAAAAATTCTGATTTGTAATCGATAATAATAGACGCAGTGCCGGCACGAGCATTGTTTGTGTGCTTAATAATTATGGAGATCTGGGACGATTGTTCAATGGCGATGAGATTATAACGCAAAGATTTGTCATCGGAGCTGGCGAAAGATGCGCTGGAAATTGACGATATGGGGCAGGGAAATGCCAATGTCGCAACAGTTTTGTCGTCAGACGTTTGTTATTTATCACTGATCAATTTTTAATGTTTCTGAAAATTAAAGACCATTGTATAAATGTCAAAGTTAACATTAATTCAAAAGCATAGAAAATCGTATTCAAAGGTGAATGAATAAAAAAATTGATATTGGACGGACAGACAGACAGACAGACAGACAGACAGATATACGGAATAAGTTTTCAATTCCTAGGACTTACTTACGCCGAAAATCATGTTTATCCATTCCTAATTTACTCTCGAGTAAAAAATCAACACTTCGAAGACGTTTCATGACTCCTACAGAATGTAAAATTAGGTTTTCCATTTCCTTGATTCGTTGTAAAAGTCCTGAAAAAATCAAATCAAAACTTTCATGTTTTTTTGACGTTTCATGATTCCTAAAATAAGTCGCCCGTTTCACTGTCTGATCGTCCCCACCAACAATGTAGTGACGTCAACGGTAAATGCTATTCACTTTTAGAAAAAAATAATTTTCTAATTTCTCGATTTTTCAAATTTTCAGTGTTTCGATTTTTCGAAAAGCATTTTTTTTGGCGTAGGGCCTGCGGGAGCATTATTTACGCAGTGTTCGATTGAGGATCCACCGGGAAATTTACAAAGTGGTGCCCTACGTATTGCATACAGATGTTTGAATATTATTATTACTATTATTATTTTGAGTTTTCCCGGGGCCATTAGCGTTTTTAAAAAAATGATATTTTTGGAATTTTGATGACGCTACCAAGAAAAATAAAGCTAGGAAAAAATTATGAAAATTTACTTTCACTGAACTTTCCTCGTCCTTGAAGGATAGTCCGACAAATTATGCTTCTTTAACAAATTATAAAACCAGATTTTGCGATTTCTTGCAGAGAAATGAGGATTTTGCAACGTAACTCACAATGAATAAAATATTCATCACAATTGAGAAGGGGTGGGTGGGTGGGGTTTATATTTTGTCCATTTTTTCTTAATATACGAAGTCTTCTTTTCCCAAGAAGAAACTGAAAACATGTTTAACTAATCAAAGATTGATTTTTTTTCCAAGAATTCATAAATTACACATGCAGGACTGTTATTATTTAAATTTAAAGAACATTTGTGGGGCAGAAACTTAAGATGACGCCATAACGCACAAATTTTCCATCCATCTTTCCTATAACCTTAAAACATTTCCAATATTTCACTTCATTCGTTTTTACAGTTTTAAAGTTAAATTGTGAAATAAAATTTTGAGTTTTTTCCCAAAAATCTCGATGTCTAGGGTAAAAACTCAACACGGATTCTAAATTATATATACATGGAATCCGTAATTCTATAAAATTTAAGAAACATTTGTTCTGTAGAAATATAAAATGATGTCATTACTTTTTAGAAGGCCATAAATAAAAAATTTTGATTAATGATTTACCATTTTTACGATAAACTTAAAAAAATTGCAAGTTTTCAAAGTATTCAATTGTAAAATGTTGTTATACAATTTTGATTTTTTCCCCAAAAATCGGGATGTCTGGGGTGAAAATTCGACACCGATTCATGAATCATCATGCAGGAGTGATTAAAATTATTATAAATTCTAAAGTCAATAAAATTAAAAGCAAATGCTCGAAAAAAATGGAATCAACCAAAAAATAGACGGTAAAGAAAAAGGAAAAAGAAGGCATCAAAAAAGGATGTCAAAAAACAAGAAAAAGATGATACAAAATTAATAAAAAAAGAGGTTAAAAAAACAAAAAAAAGGTGACAAAAAAAGTGCCA